CCGCGCATACCTCGTCGAGGCACGCCGACGACCGCCACCGCAACGCTGCTCGCAATGAATGCTAGCGATGCAACGGTCTGACTGCTCTCCATGCAAGGCTGAATGGATTGAATCCCCTGACTGCGTCTTGCGCTGACGTTGGCTGTACCTCGGTCTCATGAGCGCGCGCGCGCGAGAACAAAAAAAGGTAAAACACCCCTCGCACTCGCATTCGCTCGCCGCTGTCAAGAATATAAAAGGCATCACGCACACTCCCCGCAAGTGTCACGCTCAGGCTCACTTCAACTCTCCAGCCCGTCGGCAATCTCTTTCGCGGTGGCGACACACGCGCGCACGCCCACGCACACACACGCACACACACGCACATACATTCTCTCTCAGAGCGGACTCATTGATCAGCTCCATTCCAGTTTCTTTGCTAGCGTGCCCTCCCTACAGACCAAGTCGTCGTCTTCGTCGTCGTCGTCGTCGTCGGCGCCGTACAAACGCAACAGGACAATTCCACGCACATTCCCCTAATCCCCCTAATCTCTCTCTCTCCTCCGTCGCGGCGCTCACGCTCCGCTCACGCCCTCAAGATGCACAGCAAGGCCATCTTTGTGGCCGTGTGCGTGGCCTTTTTGATCGCTTCTCAAAGCGTCGAGTCGGCTGGACTGCTCTCCTCTCATCAAGTCTATCGACGCCGCGCGGAAGGCAGTCAGCGTGCCAGATTCGACCGTCGACACATGGCTTCTCAGGACGTTTATGCGTTTGGTGGTGGAAGCGGTTCTGGATCCGGCGGTGGCTACGGCGGTGGGCCTGGCGGTGGAGGCGGTGGAGGCGGAGGCGGTGGTGGAGGCGGAGGCGGTGGCTTCATCGCTGGCGATGGCAGCGCCAAGAGCGTAGGCTTTGGCAATGCATCCGGTGGAGGAGAGGCTAGCGGTTCCAAGAATGCCAAGGCTGGCGGCTCTAGCTCTTCCTCTAGCTTCTCCGCAAGCGGCTTTACCAAGCACGAAAAGACCACCTCGACGAAGCACGACGAAGGCGCGGGCGCGGGCGCGGGCGCGAACGCGAACGCGGGCCAAGGCGCAGGCTCCAGCAACAGCGCCAGCAATACCGGCTCTACCCAGCAGCACTCTAGCGGCAATGGCAACGGCAACACGTCTCACGAGGTCAGCAAGGGTCAAGAGCAGCAGCAGCAGCAGCAGCAGCAGCAGCAGCAGGAGGCGCACAGCGTTCCCGCCGTCGTGCCAGCTCACGACACGTCCATCAAGGAGGACAAGGAGCAGGAGAAAAAAGAGAGCGAAAAGAAGCACGACAAGGAGGACAAGTGCGAGGAGGAAAAGAAAAAGGAGGCAGAGGAGAAGCATCACCATGCTGAGCACCACGAGGAGCACCATGCGGAGCACCACGCCGAGCACCACGCCGAGCACTCTACCGAGCAGCAGCAATTGCAGCACCAGGTCGATCAGCAAAAGCAGCTCACTCAAGAGCAGCAGCACAACATCGACAAGCAGCACCGCATCGAGGAGCACCAGCACGAGATGGAGCAACACCGTCTCAAGCAGCAGCAGCACAAAGAAGCGCATCACGAGCACCACGAGCACCACGAGACCCAGAAGCACGTCGAGCAGCACCACACGGAGCAGCACGGTGGCGCTACCGGCGCTGGCGCTGCAGTCGGAGCAGGAGCTGGCGTCGCCGGCGGCGTTGCGGGCGACGCCGCTGTAGGTCACGCAAACGGCAACGGCAACGGCAACGCTGCTGGCAGCGCCGCCGCTGCCGGGAACAAGCAGGAAGAAGAGGAAGAGTGCGAAGAGGAGGAGGAGGAGGAGGAAGATGAAAAGCCACCAAAGGCACCCTCGCCGCCTAATCCCCCACCTCCTGCTACGCCGCCGCCATCTACACCGCCGCCTGCGAACACTCCACCAAGCGCTACTCCTCCGTCGTCGACGCCGCCAGCGAATACTCCTCCAAGCGCTACTCCTCCGGCCAGCGAGCAGCCTCCTCCATCTACACCGCCGCCTGCGGACACTCCACCCAGCGCTACTCCTCCCTCGTCGACGCCGCCACCAACAACCACTCCTCCGGCCAGCGAGCAGCCTCCTGCAACTCCTACCGACTCGCCTCCGCAGCCCAAGAGTCAGCCGCCTGGAACGCCTGGTGGAGACAGCTCTTTTCCACCACCGACAGTTCCGCCGGCACCCCAGCAGCCCCAGCAGCCCCAGCAGCCGCAGCAACCTCAGCAACCTCAGACGCCCGAAACTTCCAAGCCGACGAATGAGACGCACGAAGAGAAGCCATCTGAACAGCAATCGAATGCTGGTGCGAATACCAGCACTGGTGAACAGAGTGTAGAGCAGCAGCACAAAGAGCAGCACGAGGAGCAACACGAGGAGCACACGGGCGGAGATCTTGGCAGTCAGACGGACAGCAAGCCATCTCAGCCCACGCCTGAGACCACGCCCACGACTGCGCCACCCTCGACCACGCCACCGAGCACGCCTCCTCAACCTTCCACCGTCACGACTGGCGAAAAGGGCTCGGAGGAGCACCACGAGGAGCAAAAAGGCAGCACCGCCACCGTGCCGCCTCAGACCAACAGCCCGACGGACACTGCGCCACCTGGACAGCCTCCCAGCGGCGGCGGCAGCGCCGGCGCCAAGGAGGAACACCACGAGGAGCACCATGAGCAAGAACACCACGAGGAGCACCACGAGCAAGAACATCACGAACACTCTGCTAGCGCCGAGGGCAAGCCGTGCAACAAGGAAAAGGACGAGAACGGCAAGTGCGAGTGCGACAAGTTCCAGATCAGTGAGTAGGCAGTAGCAATTCGCATACGCTAGCACCACGCTCGCGCCACGCTCGGATGCTCAAACATCGCCGTCGCATCTCGCAGCCATCGACTACTCCAAGAGTACAAACGTGTCCGATGCGGCCAGAGAAGAATGGCACAAGGTTTGCGGTCAAGTGTCTGGCAAATACCGTATCACTGGCGACGACTTTGAAGACATAGGTTCGAACAAGGCGAAAGTCACTTGTGTCACCAGCTCGACGGATAATGCGACCAAGAAAGTGTGCGTTGGGGCGCGTCCGCGTTGAAACAGAGAGAGAAGGAGCATGCTGACGTGCCCCCCCC